TTCTAAAAAAAAAAAAAAAAAAAAAAAGAAAAGAAAAGTACGCGATAGAGAAGACGGGAAGAAAGAGTGGGGCGAGGCAGAGAAACGGGAAAGACGAGAGAGACGATATCGAGGAGGAGAATTAAAATTCGCCGTATGAAAAGGATCCGCGGGCCTTTTAATATGCAAATCGTTGAAAAACCGGCGAGAGGCGAGCGCGCGCCGCTCTTTTCTTCAATCTCTTCGGGAAATACCGCGCGAGACGAGGGGCAATTTGTTACAAATCAGACACATAAGTTTCGCTCGCGTTTCGGATGCATACGAAGCACGTGAAAACAGAGCGTAAAAAGGCGGATGATGGCGGTGAGGGTGAATGCTTTTCCTTTAAAAGACGATCCAGGTGCGCGGAAACGTCGTGCGCAACGTGCCGGGGAAAATCAGAAAAACAAAGAGGCAATTGAAGACTCGAGCCCGTTCGCATACGAATTCGTGCTTTATAACCCGAAGAACCGACTTCTTTTCTCTCTCCAGTTTTTGTACCACCTCTTCTTCTTCTTCTTCTTCTTCTTTTTATCCTTCTTTTTCTTCTTCTTCTTGCAGGAGGACTGGAAACCTCGCAAGGATGCGGGACCGGCTATCGTGGTACATGGTCTTTCTGATCCTGCCGACAATTCTTCTGGCCAGGTCGCTCGATAAAGGTAAATAATTTTCTCGGGGCATTTAACCTGCCCTCCCTCCTCCACTCCTGTATTCCCCAGCCTTGGATATAAGATCTTTTATACTTTTTGGCATCCGGATGCAATCCCGCCTTTCCTGGTTTAATTTCAGCGAATGCTTCGAGCTTCGAGCAGGCTACTCTCCGACGATTTAATTAATGATCGGTTCGTGTGATCGTGAGATATGGCGCTTCGGGCGTGATCTATAAAGTCTGCCCGTCACTAGTGCAGCAGTGTTCCCATCGTGTGTTTCAGACGTGATTCGGGACAAAGGAGCTGACAGAAAGTCAGTTCGGATCACTCGAATTCAAACGACGCGAGATCCACTTGGATCGGCAGCGTGATTGTTTGGCAATCATTGCTTGCGCTATCTACTTGCTCGCAGTTATTTCTCGAAGCGGTACAATTCGTTAGAACAAACGAGGTTGCTCAACAGTTTCGCGAGTTTCGACTTCAAACGAATGAAGTGTATCAATCACTTTCGTGCGATTTTGTTTCATTTGTTCACGGGTAACATACATATTAATTAGCAGCCAGTACTGTTCCCACTCCGTTTATTCCGCATGCAAACTACTCTCTCTCTAATTTCTTTTCACTTT